ATGGGCAACATCTGTGAGAGAGGGGTCTGATACATGGGCAACATCTGTGAGAGAGAGAGGGGTCTGATACATAGGCAACATCTGTGAGAGAGAGAGGGGGTCTGATACATGGGCAACATCTGTGAGAGGGGGTCTGATACATGGGTAACATCTGGGAGAGAGGGGTCTGATACATGGGCAACATCTGGGAGAGAGGGGTCTGATACATGGGCAACATCTGGGAGAGAGAGAGGGGTCTGATACATGGGCAACATCTGGGAGAGAGAGAGGGGTCTGATACATAGGCAACATCTGGGAGAGAGAGAGGGGTCTGATACATAGGCAACATCTGTGAGAGGGGGGGTCTGATACATGGGCAACATCTGGGAGAGAGGGGGTCTGATACATGGGTAACAACTGTGAGAGGGGGGTCTGATACATGGGCAACATCTGTGAGAGGGGGTCTGATACATGGGTAACATCTGGGAGAGAGGGGGGTCTGATACATGGGCAACATCTGGGAGAGGGGGGTCTGATACATGGGCAACATCCGTGAGAGGGGGTCTGATACATGGGCAACATCTGGGAGAGAGGGGTCTGATACATGGGCAACATCTGTGAGAGGGGGGGTCTGATACATGGGCAACATCTGTGAGAGAGGGGTCTGATACATGGGCAACATCTGTGAGAGAGGGGTCTGATACATGGGTAACATCTGGGAGAGAGGGGTCTGATACATGGGCAACATCTGGGAGAGAGGGGTCTGATACATGGGCAACATCTGGGAGAGGGGGGTCTGATACATGGGTAACATCTGTGAGAGAGGGGTCTGATACATGGGCAACATCTGTGAGAGATAGGGGGTCTGATACATGGGCAACATCTGGGAGAGAGGGGTCTGATACATGGGCAACATCTGTGAGAGGGGGGGTCTGATACATGGGCAACATCTGTGAGAGGGGGTCTGATACATGGGCAACATCTGGGAGAGAGGGGGGGTCTGATACATAGGCAACATCTGTGAGAGAGGGGGTCTGATACATAGGCAACATCTGTGAGAGGGGGGGTCTGATACATGGGCAACATCTGTGAGAGAGAGAGGGGGTCTGATACATGGGCAACATCTGTGAGAGGGGGGGTCTGATACATATGCAACATCTGTGAGAGAGGGGTCTGATACATGGGCAACATCTGTGAGAGGGGGGGTCTGATACATGGGCAACATCTGTGAGAGGGGGGTCTGATACATGGGCAACATCTGGCTCTGTGAGAGAGGGGGTCTGATACATAGGCAACATCTGTGAGAGAGGGGTCTGATACATGGGCAACATCTGGCTCTGTGAGAGTGGGGGTCTGATACATAGGCAACATCTGAGAGAGAAGGGGTCTGATACATAGGCAACATCTGGGAGAGAGGGGTCTGATACATGGGCAACATCTGGCTCTGTGAGAGAGGGGGTCTGATACATAGGCAACATCTGTGAGAGAGGGGGTCTGATACATAGGCAACATCTGGGAGAGAGGGGGTCTGATACATGGGCAACATCTGGGAGAGAGAGGGTCTGATACATGGGCAACATCTGGGAGAGAGAGGGTCTGATACATGGGCAACATCTGTGAGAGAGGAGGTCTGATACATGGGCAACATCTGGGAGAGAGGGGGTCTGATACATGGGTAACATCTGGCTCTGTGAGAGAGGGGGTCTGATACATGGGCAACATCTGTGAGAGAGGAGGTCTGATACATGGGCAACATCTGGGAGAGAGGGGGTCTGATACATGGGCAACATCTGGGAGAGAGGGGGTCTGATACATGGGCAAAATGTGGCTCTTATCATCTTACTGCCAACGAATTGTTCTGAGATTTTCATTTAATGGACCATGAAGCCATTTATTACATATTTGTATGGTAACCATAGTTATCCGGTGTGTGTCAAGTTACCCCAGAGTGACCATAGTGTTCAGCAGTGTTTCTTCCAGGCTTTTTTCCCCTGGGGGGGGGGGGGGGGGGTACTTGAATTTTATTTTTTAAAGGGGGGGGGGGGGGTATGGGTGGGAACAAAAATTCCCGTTGAGGGGGGGGGGAGGGGGGGGAGAAGGGACACTGGTAAAAGTATAAAAAGTATATATTTTCTATATATATTGTATTTCGTTCGGATTGGGGGGGGGAGCGGTAGACGTTTGGGGGGGGGGGGGGCTCATCCAGAGTGGGTAAAGTTACCCAGCTGTCGTTAATTCCACTGCCCCTTCGAGGAAACAAAGTTAAATTAAATGTATATAGAAAGCATATACTGTAAAACCACTGCTCGAAACTCCCCCAACCTCCTCGGAAAAAAATGATTTTCTTACAGTTTCTAATACTGTTGACTCTCTACAAGCTCCCTAATGAAACTCAATAGTATTATCTAATCAATAGTAATATAACTTTTACATCTTATATTAATAATGACCGATAAAAAACTTACTTCGGCGCCCCACGTTTTTCATCGCTTATAGTAGAGTGATCGCTTGCATTATTGTGATGTATAGCATTTATTTTCTACTTTTTAGTTCAATCAGAAAACGTGGTTTTTTTTAAACTTTTTAAATGATAATAATTATTGGCCAAACTGCGATGTGAAAGTTTACTGAGAGAATGGACACCAGCGAGTTGACGAGATTCCTTCCGTAATGTTGTTGACATGGAATAAAAATTTGCTTTTTTAGATTTAGGACCATAAAACTAATAAAAGATAAAATTGTATTAAAAACTTAAGCCTAAAATTAATTCAGAAATGTAATATTTTTAGAATCAATGCCATACAAGTTGCAGATCCAGAGAACTTGAAAATAATTTGTTGAGTTTAAGGCTACATTTCTATTTATTTTCATCAAGCCTAAGTTATAACCCGATGTTTCACTTTCGTAAGACAAACATTGATTGGCTGCAAAGGAACTCCGTGATCGATTTCTGACAGCCCCACTTTATAGTTATTTTGTTTACAAAACTTTGCAGATCAAGTTTTTAAATAACTATGCAAATTTAAACACCATGACCTATTTTTTTCTATTTTTAGCTTACAATGTGTACAATAAAATTTATGGCGGCCATTGTTTATGTCGCCATTACACGTGAAAACCAAATTGTTTTTGCTTTTTTTTTTTATTTTATTTAGTTACCGAAAATTTTAAAAACATCAAATACACCCCATCTTTAGTAAAGTCCGAAAAAAACACTACAGAGAGGATTTTATAACCATATTAATTGTAACTACGCCGTGCCTGATTTTTAAATTAATGTATGCACCTCTCAAATACCTTTGAGACTTTTCTCGCTGGTGTCCATTCAGGTTCTCAACCATCTGTCTTTTCCAAGTGTTCCGTTGTAAGATTCTGGAAAAATTGTGTTCATAATTAGCAGCTACACGGTATACAACACAACCATGGCATATTATTTATGTATTTATTTAGTTTATGATTTTTTAAAAATTAAAGTCTGAAACTGCATCAATTTTCAGCAAAATGTTTTAGAAAATAATTTTAAAAAAACATAACTTGTCTCCATTGTAGTTTATACTCTCTATGATATTGTATTATATGTCTATAGCAAATTTCAAGCCTATTAGACCAAAATTGTAAAAAAAGCAAACAAAAAAAAACAACATTATTTTTCTGTTTTAAAAGTATTTTGTTTTTTTGTTAAGTTTGTGTATTAAAATACCTAAAGTCCTCCTAGTGAATGTTTCTTATTTTCCAGATTCTATAAGGTCCAATGGACGTTTCCTGGTATTTTAAAATATATTAGTTCTTTTTAAAGGTTATTTTGGAGCCTTAGAACGGCAGACACAGCAATCGTTACCTTGACCTTTCAAAGACAGTTTTCCTCTGTGAAAAACAGAAATTTTTGACCTATAGTTACTTCTATCTTAAAAACAGATAAAATTACGCCATCAAAATGGTATACAGCACAACAAACAGCTTTCTAGGCTATATAGTTTCACACATCTGAGGATTTTTTTACACTATATTCTAACATCTTAAGAAAACCGTTTTGGCAAATTTTCGTTGAGTGTCCGGGACACACTTAGCTAACAAGAATTAGTCAGAGATCCCATCTCTAAGCAGTTTCATTACTTCCTTTTTGAGTTGACATGATAGTGATTAGATATTTGTTGAAAAGTATTAGAATGTTACTATTTTATATTCGTGGTAACTAAGTGTAAACAGTGGTTGCTTAGCAATTCTCAGTTGTGAGGTGCATAAATAAGCATTTTTTAAATTCTTATTTATTCTTAACAACAAGTGGAACCAAGTGACTAGGTTCTAAATTGAAAATATTTTTTAACGTCTTATTTCATTTTTCAAAGTTACACGCGAGGAACTTCAACTATTTCATTTTTTTTTTATATAAAAAATTATTTAATTTCCCGGAAACAACAAATTCATTTCAGTTTACTTTATTTTATCGTTGTCGTTTTAACATTGCGATTTTTGTTCACTTTTTTACCAATCAAAATTAGTAAAAATTATTTCCTTGACTTTCTTTCTGTGACTTCTCCTCTCACCTAGCAAAAGCCAGGTAGGCATGCTATGACAGATGAAATCAGAGCGATCATCAGTAGCTCCTTACACGTCCTCAGTTTAGTCTTAGGGCGGGTTACACTTTCCAAAAGGGTGACACCAAAACGAAATATAGCCAAATTTAATACAACATAGGTATTTTTTTCAGTTAGTTGTATTTCATACTTAGGAATATGCATTAGCACTTATCAGCACCTCACCTGCCACTAGTCCACACCTCCCGTAGCATTAGTCCACACCTACCCCTAGCACTAGTCCACACCTCCCCTAGCACTAGCACTTATCAGCATCTCCCTAGCCCCCAGTATAGTAATCCCTGTACCAGATAATGTTATCATTTTGTCACATCTCTGCAGATAATGTTATCATTTTGTCATATCTCTACAAATATTGTTATCATTTTGTCATAACTCTACAAATATTGTTATCATTTTTTCATATCTCTGCAGATAATTTTAATCATGCTAAGAAAACACCACCTTCGCCTTATCATCTACGTGACAACTATCTGTGTCGTCGTCAACATCGGCCTGTCACTTTTATCAAACGCTGTCAGCTACACACGTTTTGATGACGTCAGCCTGCGCACAGAAGCCAAGCAAATGGCCGCCAAAGCTATCGCCAGCTTCGACTTTGACCTCGTAGATTCCTCTAAAGCGTTGCTGTTCCACTCATTGTTGGAGTGTGTCTTCAACAAGCTGGATCAGACTCCGTCACCAGACATTCTGGAGAAAGACTCCACCAAATTTAATCTCACGTTTCTGGGAGCATTAGATCCGGGGACTTTACATATTTTGATTAAAAAATTAATGAATCAAGTCAATTCTAAAATATCGGTTATTTCTTTTTTAACCCAACCAATCATAAACGAGCATAATTTTTCTTATATCCACAACCCAAAAGACGCATGCGCAGACGATCCAATCAACGTTTTGTTTGTCGTCCCATCAGCACCCACCAACTTCCAACGTCGAGAGAACGTCAGAGTTAGTTCCAGAGGGCGGTATGTTCAAAACCCTCAAAACAAAGCCAAGCTTTTATTTTTCATCGGCAGACCAGTTGAAAATAACGAGGAAGTACAAGATCAAATTGACGAAGAATCTGAAAAGTACGGCGATATCGTTCAGGAGAGTTTTGTCGACGTGTACAGGAACATTACGCTAAAGGCCATGTCCATGTTGAAGTGGACAAGCACCTTCTGCCAGCAGACCAACTTCGTCATCAGAACTGACGATGACGTGGAGATTAACATCAACAAAATTCTTAAAATTTTGAGAAGTAAACAAAGACAGTTCGGGGATTTCGTTATTGGGGATAAAAAAGTTGATTGGACCCCGATTCGGGATGAATCCAGCAGATGGTATTTATCTGAGAAGGAGTATCCATATCCATTTTTGCCACCGTTTGCGTTGGGTGGTTTGCTGGCGTACCCAGCTAGCACAGTGACTCTACTGTACCACGCAGCCATGAGATCGAAACCCATCTGGTTGGATGATGTGTTCATTACAGGGATGTGTGCACCTAAAGTCGACGTACCCCTCCTGGGCCATAGTGAGTTTGTTTTTAAACACGACGCGTGGTAGCTCCAAATGATACATTGTTTGATATCACGCCTTTTGGGGCACGGCTAGCTATATATAGCTCTGCAGAGTTCTCTGTTCTTCTGGAATAAGAGAGACCAACAACAGCTCTCCAGAGTTCCATATACTGCTGGAATATGGGTCGACGATTACAGCTTTCCGGAATTCTCTGTCCTGCTGGAGTACGGGCTGCTAACTAAAGCTCTCCAGAGTTCTCTGTCCTGCTGGAGTAATGACCACTAACCACAGCCCTCCAGAGTTTCGTGTTCTTACTGATGTTGGGAAGCGATATATGAAAAGTATATCCTATCCAAACTCTATATTATGCAAAGGTTGGTTTACAAAATATGGTGTCTGACCAAGTAAACACCACAAACCAATGAAGACACCACCAACCTAGTGAGACATCACCAACCTAGTGAGACACCACCAACCAATGAAGACACTACCAACCAGAGATGGCGTTAGGGGGTGGCAAACGGGGCGGTCGCCCCAGGCCCAGCGCTTGAAGAGGCCCCGCGCTTCAGCACCGCCATTGTTGCCTGAATTAGTTTGTAAACTTAAATAATCTTTGCTGAATTAAATTTAAAAAAAAAAACTAAATGGCCGAAATTGTTGGATGTTAAAACTGAGGCCACGGCTGATGTTAGTGAGTTATCTTCTACATGGACTGGGACAGACCGTTTTTCTAAAGAAAGAAATTTGTGTCACACATCGCTGGCACGGTCGACTCGCAATTGTCCTGAGGTGACTGGAGATGGCGGTCGCGAATTAGCCCCCGACCTGACATGGGAGGTAAAATCGGGAAAACACGTAAAAAGATACCCTATTGTATGCGGACCTTTGAAGACGTTTTTTTTTAGTGAGCAGGCGGGGGTGCCTGTAGTAAACAGTCAGTGACCTGATGATGGCTTGCAGAGGAGGGGGGGGGGGGAGAACGGATGGGGACATGCCCCGAAAATCCAGAGTATTTACCCCTAAAATCATAATTTATGCACTGAATGGGCATCTTTTGTGTAATTATGCTTATTCACCACGATACATTTGAAAGGCATCCATACAGTAATTATGTTCATATTCATTTTATATATTGTCTGATCATCTTTATATACATTATACTTGTATTTATTTTTATATTTTTGAAGGGCATTTATACAGTAATTATGTCCAAAAGCAGTGACATTTTTTGGTGTTCTGCAAGGAATCTATGTGATATTTGCCGGTTCACCTGCAAGATGGAAGATTTTGGAAGAAGCTGTGCCTTACATCACAGTAAAATCGCTGTCAGACACAAGATGGGAATGCCGTATAGAGAGTGTAAAAGCTTTGCGCTACCAAATAAGCGAAATAAAGGAAGCCCTTTTCACTGTATCAGATGAGTCCAAGGACCCTATGGTAAAAGCCGAAGGAGAATCACTTACTAATTTTGAGGTAGGAAATTTTGAATTCATCCTTGCTGTGATCATTTGGTATGACATCCTATTCGCAGTTAATACTGTAAGTAAATCGCTACAATCAGCCGATATGCAGCTTGATGTAGCAATACAGCAAATTAAAGGACTCGTCACCTACTTGACAAATTATCGGGAAAATGGTTTTAATTCTGCCATGGTTACTACAAAGGAAATGGCTAAAGCAATGGATGTGGATCAAGTATTCAAACAGAAAAGAAGCAGAAAAAGAAAAAGACAATTTGAATATGAGAGTACAGATGAAAGCACGTTATCGGGTGAAGATGAGTTTAGAACAGAGTATTTCTTATGTATAATGGATCAAGCAATTATTGACATGAACACTCGATTTGAACAGCTACGACAATATGATTCACTCTTTGGGTTTCTCTACAACATAAACACAATGAGAAAATTAAATAATGAGGATTTGTTAAAAAGTTGCATGAATCTTGATATAGCGTTGCGATCGGTGAGCTCACGTGACTTAAACGGGACAGATTTGTGTACAGAGCTCACAATGTTTCGAGAAATTTTGCCCGAAGGTATTAAGTCAGCCAAACAGTGCCTTCAGTACATTTGGAGTATTCGGGATTCCTTTCCCAATACGGCGATCGCCTACAGAATCTTGCTAACAGTTCCAGTCACAGTTGCAAGCGTCGAAAGAAGTTTCTCCAAACTGAAGTTGATCAAGAACTATTTGAGATCAACGATGTCCCAAGACAGGCTCTGCGGCCTGTTGATTCTGTCAATAGAAAAAGACATAGCCTCCAGTTTGGACTATGATGATATAATCATGGAATTTTCCTCACGAAAGGCAAGAAAAGTAGATCTTCGTTTGTAAACATACTAGTAAGATTTTCATAAATAAACATCAATGTAAAAAAAATCAGGTTTGAAGCTGACGTTCATCGTCTTTTTAATGCGTGTCTCAAACTTATATCTGTTTTATTTTTTACTTTTCAAACAAAAAGCCTTAACAGAAACAAGCAACGTTTCAAAAGCACTTCTAAGTAAACACATTATTTGTTAATCAGTGTCTTAATGTTAAAACGACATTGATAAGCAGCTTAAAAATATCATATATATCGTTTTAAATATTAATTCGCGTTGAGAAGGAAAAAAAACGCCTCACTGTACATGTTTTAGACACCAATGGAAAAATATAAGGTCCCGCGCGGATGGTTGGCCATAGGCCCCGCGTACCCCTAGCGCCGGCTCTGCTACCAACCAATGAAGACACCACCAACCAATGAAGACACCACCAACCAATGAAGACACCACCAACCAATGAAAACACCACCAACCAATGAAGACACCACCAACCAATGAAGACACCACCAACCAATGAAAACACCACCAACCAATGAAGACACCGCCAACCAATGAAAACACCACCAACCAATGAAAACACCACCAACCAATGATGACACCACCAACCAATGAAGACACCACCAACCAATGATGACACCACCAACCAATGAAGACACCACCAACCAATGAAGACACCACCAACCAATGAAAACACCACCAACCAATGAAAACACCACCAACCAATGAAAACACCACCAACCAATGAAAACACCACCAACCAATGATGACACCACCAACCAATGAAAACACCACCAACCAATGAAAACACCACCAACCAATGAAAACACCACCAACCAATGAAAACACCACCAACCAATGAAAACACCACCAACCAATGAAGACACCGCCAACCAATGAAGACACCACCAACCAATGAAAACACCACCAACCAATGAAAACACCACCAACCAATGATGACACCGCCAACCAATGAAGACACCACCAACCAATGATGACACCGCCAACCAATGATGACACCGCCAACCAATGAAGACACCACCAACCAATGAAACCAACACTAACCTATGGAGACAACTCCACCAATTCAATCAAATACTCAAACGACACTCCAGGATGCCACTATTGACTATTTCCCTACCCCACATTTATCCTACCTGTTCCGTGTTTCCCCCCCCCCCTCCTCTCACAGGCTCTTCACTAAACCTGTAACCTACTGCGGATATTAGACTGAGTGAATACGTCAGTTCCATTCTCAACAGACCGATACAACATTTCCACCCCCACCCCTTTTATAACGACAAAATGTATCCTATTTAAACTGTTAACTGGTGTTCTTTTGACAGAAAAATGAATTGTGTTGCTTGACCATTATACAACGCGAGACTGGTAGATAACTTCCTGACCTGGTTACTGGTTCTAGATAACTGCCTAATCTGGTTACTGATTCTATATAACTGCCTAATCTGGTTACTGATTCTAGACAACTGCCTAATCTGGTTACTGATTCTAGATAACTGCCTAATCTGGTTACTGGTTCTAGATAAATGCCTAATCTGGTTACTGGTTCTAGATAAGCTCCTAATCTGGTTACTGGTTCTAGAAAACTGCCTAATCTGGTTACTGGTTCTAGATAATTGCCTAATCTGATTACTGGTTCTAGATAAATGCCTAATCTGGTTACTGGTTCTAGATAAATGCCTAATCTGGTTACTGTTTCTAGACAACTTCCTGATGTGGTTACCGGTTTTAGATAATTGCCTAGTATGGTTTCTAGTTAATACTCGAATAATGCCACCATATTGCTACTGGCGGTAACATGGGTTGTAGATTTTTTTTTCTTATCTAGATCTGCAAGAACGTGATGTTTGACTAATGCAAAACTTAGTGCAAATATTGTTACACTTATGCTTTGTCTTATCAGTTCGTGTCAAACTTTGTACATATGACCAATCTTATTGAAATTGAACAGTGTCAACATTTGAGTATAAAGCTAATTTTATTGCTTGTGTCATAATTTGAATGTTTGGCTTGTTTTAATTGCTGATTTTATAATTTTAACGAATCGCATGCCTTATTTAATTGTGCCAAAACTTGAATGTATGGCTAGTTGTATTGCTTGTGTTATAATTTGAATCTATTGCTAGTGTTATTAAAGGGTATAGAAATTGAACATACGGCTAATCATATTGGATTATGTCCTAATTTGAATGTACGGCTAGTTTTATCGGCGTGTTATGTCAAAATTTCAACACATGGCTAATCATATTGAATCTGTCAAAATTTGAACATATGGTTAATTGTATTGGATCTGTCAAAATTTGAACATATGGCTAATTGTATTGGATCTGTCAAAATTTGAACATATGGCTAACTGTATTGGATCTGTCAAAATTTGAACATATGGCTAATTGTATTGGATCTGTCAAAATTTGAACATATGGCTAATTGTATTGGATCTGTCAAAATTTGAACATATGGCTAACTGTATTGGATCTGTCAAAATTTGAACATATGGCTAATTGTATTGGATCTGTCAAAATTTGAACATATGGCTAATTGTATTTGATCTGTCAAAATTTGATCATATGGCTAATTGTATTGGATCTGTCAAAATGTGAACATATGGCTAATTGTATTGGATCTGTCAAAATGTGAACATATGGCTAATTGTATTGGATCTGTCAAGATTTTAATGTACGGCTAATTATATTGAATGGT